CAGGTCCAAGTGCTAATCTAAACCATTTTCGAATCAACTTAATCACACACAAAATTTCATCAAAATCAGTCCAGCTGTTTATAGGAGGAGTTCAGTCGCATACACATTTTGTACATGATGAGCCATGCTGCAGCTATATTAGTAGTATAGTTCTAGCACGAGTGGGTCGGTTCGACCGGGAAAGGACCACGCTCTCACAGGATACCAGCGTCAAATAGCAGCTTAACACTGCTGTGTTTCGTATGGTGAGTGTAGAGAACCGGAGATTCTTTTTACTGGTAAAGAGGCATTCCATCTTAGTCCTCACGGGTGACAACGCATCTGCATTTTGATTCGCAAACGAGGATAAATGTAGGTGTCTATGGGCCACAGCAACCACTTACCATCAGGTGGACTGTGTGCTCTTTGTCACCCCATCCATTAAAAAAACATGGACAGAAGAATTATATATATATATATATATATATATATATATATATATATATATATATATCAAAAAAGCTCATGTCCATTCACCTCCCCATATCATCCCATGGGTGTCGTAGGAGGCGACATAAGGAAATTAAACAAGATATAGGTATCAGCATCGTTTTGAGAACAAATCAAAATGAAAAAACTGCGGTGGCAATTCGATTGCCAAGCGTAGCAATTATCCCGTATATCCCCTTTAATGTAAATCTAATAGATCCAGATTTTGTGATTCTCTTTATTGTAAGTACTTAAAGTATGTGGTCCTTCCTCGGTCGAACGGATCCATTCATGCTACAACCATAAAGCCGAGAAACTAAAATCTAAATTATAAATTAAATAAGAAGAAAAATTATCTCAAGGACGTTGTAAAACGCCCTGCCTTTTTCATGCTCCATAAACACACTAGTAAAGAAATCGTACCGCATTATTTACTCTTGTGGCAAACCTCTCAAAAATTAAAATGGATTTACTACTTTCTGCTTCTGTACAAATCGATTTTTAATAATCTATTATTATCTATTATTGACACATATAATAAATGTGTAGGAAAATTGTGTGTTCACGATTCACGCAAAAACTACTGAACGGATTTCCATTAAAACTTTTGTGTAGGCAGTAAATGATCGTGTATAACATATAGGCAACTTTTTATCCGCTTACGGAATTACGGAAAAGTAAAAAAAAGAAGAGTTATATGTTTCCTTTTTTAAAGCTTATAGTCATCATGGTTGCTGATGGTTCTATTAGTCATAAAGAAGGTTTAGCTATGCGTACAATAAGTCTATATGACAGCGTGTGTGAGAAAATGAAACTCATCGCGCCACCAACCAGAAAGGGCAGAACAGTGTCTGCCGAGGCAGCTAGTATCTCATAAAGTAGTAACAAATAGCCAATTGCCGTGTCTCGTGAAACAGAAACAGAAACAGAAACTTATTTTATTCAAGAGTAACGTAGGCTGCTTTTATTTAAGAGAAAGAATTAGAGTTCCGTGCAAAAACAACCTTGATTACACGCGGGCTAAGTCGCCGGGAACAGCTAGTCCTATATAAAATGATCGTAACAGCGAGCGGACTGTATAAGTTAAATAATAACAATGCGCTTACGTCTTTAAAAATAATAGATTTGTAATTATTAATACAAGACTATTTATATACCTTTTTGTTGCGGTTCGCTTTTCTGACTTGTTACATGAATGTTTCTGTGTTATTTTAAAGACGTTTCACGTTAAAAAATCTGATTATTTTCCAGTGGGTATACTATAAGATATTAAAATAAAAAGGACATCAGCTGGAAACCAGAGACCACGATTCCCACAAGAATAACACAATCCGACTACTATTATAGGGACAATTTACAATTCTAAGTTTACACGCTCGCTAAGTCTTAGCAAGCTTTTACAAGCCCCAAGCCTATGCGAATTCTGGGCTTGCATTTGGAAATAATTTACATACTTATGAATGCGTCATTGTACTATATTCCGAACATACAAACATGACGGGCATCGAATTTGTTTCGGCTTTTGCGTTTGGTTTCGTTAAATGTTTGCCGAAAGTGTAAGTGGATACTGTGGTCCATAGACATCTACATCTATTCTCGAATATGAATCAAAATGCAGATGCGTTGTCACAAGTGAGGACTAAAATGGAATGCCTCTTTTCCAGTAAAAAGGGTATCCGGTTCTCTACAATCTCCATACGAAACACAGCAGTGTTAAGCTGCTATTTTACGCTGGTATTCTGTAAGAGAGGGTTGTCCTTCCCCGGTCGAACCGACCCATTCGTGCTACAACTATACTACTAATACAGCTGCAGCATCGCTCTACCACGTGTAAAATATATACGTGTAAAATATTTACAATTTATGTTTTTTTACAGTACCTTAGAAGCTCTCTGAAAATAAGCCTCACATTGTTACGATTTCAAAACATTTATCCTTTGCAAAAACATGTTTATGATCTCGTAAGTGTACACAACATATTTTTAGAGTACTGCTTTTTACTTTCATCGTAAGAATAAATATTCTTATCAAAGGCGATAAATTAATGGTGGGCGACATTGCCTCCTGTCGAAGACATTAACGATAATGTCGTATGACTGACGAGGCAGACTGGAGGGAGGTTTTTTAGGTGAAATATTGTCGATAACATAAAATTTCATACTAACATAATTGTTTACTTCATATTTATATTACCGGTAAGTAAAAAGTAATAGTTTTTAAATAAAAATATATTTACATAATTTATTGCGATTAATTCAGTCTTTTATTAAACCAATCAATAAATTTTAAAAATCCAATAAACCGTTACAATTATCGTTACCGTTACAGCGTATTAAAGTCCACTGCTGAACATAAACCTCCCCATAGATTGCTTCATAGAGGATATTTTGTCATAGGTGTAATGTTACTGTGTTTAATAATTTCACCTCTCAGTGGGTCATGTGCTCCTGGTAGATTATCTTCCATATATCCATCCAACAGCCAATTAAAGTCCACTGCTGGACATAGGCCTCCCCCATAGATTACCTCATGGGGCGGATATATGTCATAGTTGCCACGCATGGCAAGCGGGTTAGCAACCGCAGTTTATTTTTATTTTTAATCGTTATTAGGAAGATTCTGCTGCCCATCTCTTGATTTATTTATTAAGAAAAAGATATATAATTAAAACATTTTAAAACAAAACAACAAAACAACCAGTGATTTAGATATTATGTGTAATAGACATACAAAAAAAATTACTTAATTTGAAATCGTATCGAATAAGTACTTGCGAAACTTGTACGAGAAAACAAAATGTATGTATGTCCGGCTACTGACCCCATTATAAAGTTTACTTAACCTAGCTACAGGAGAGTTGTTACCAAGCACAGTCCTACGAAATGGAGGGGCAAGTGGAAGAATGGGAGCTTGCGGGAGCGTCCTAGGCACCCTAAATTTAAAGTAACTTAGAAGTTGGGGACAGTCAATTTGACTTCTTAAAATTTTGAAAATAAAAGTTAGGTCGATAATAGCTCTGCGTTTTTCAAGAGATTTCATGTTACGAGTAAAATGTTTTAGTCTATGGGAGTAAGAGTAAGAGAAGCCCCCTTCGTCCCGTTCCAGAAGAGTACGCCAGGTGCCAAAGAAATCTCTTCTGTATCCTTTCCAGCCGCAAATAATGGTTATGCAGTTTGGAGCCTGTAATCTATAAATATAAATAGAATTAAACTCTATCTTTGTAATATAACTGGTTTCTATTAAACTCAGGGGGTTATTTGCATGCTGTTAGAGAAAAATTAATCATTTACAAAAAAAATTCTCCAATCGTCGGAATGGCTGAACCGATGGTGATGAAACTTTACGAACAGATAGAGAACAAGGTCAGGCGATATCTAGGCTATATATAATCCAAAAAGCTTAGAGATTTTTTAAAAACGTTCTTTAACTATTTTTAATTTAAATAACGCCACAATATAGTTCTTATCCAGGCGAAGCCGGATCCGTGTCGCAAGCGAAAAATAAAGTTATTAAAGCTGAAAGTAATAACTGTTTACTACACAATGAGATATGGTTACAAAAATCTGCTATATGTCAATAGAAATAGATTTAATAGTTACTTTCACAGTAAGGTCAGCGTTAGCCGGCAACAGGCACTTAGCGGCGACGCTGATGCAAAAAGTCTGAATGCTTACACAGCGTGACGAATAGAGCAAACCACCTACAGATTACCACCTATAGAGTCTTTTAATGTCGTATATTAAACGCTAGAAGCATAACCAAAAATAATAATATAGTTGTCGTCACCCTTTTACAAATATATTGGCTTAAAGTTATTTTTTCAACGGTTCTAATGGGTTTGCCTTATAAATTAAGTACATAAATGTATTTTTCTTTATAGCTGCATTGATTTTCAAAGATCTTCTTACCTTCTTTCTGGGTAAGAATGGGTACTCTAGTATAACTTACAACTTACTCAAATTAAAAACTTAATACTTATTACTTGTGTAATTAAATAAGTTCTAACTTATTTAATTACTTGTGTATTATAAAATATTATCACCCTAATTGTGTAATGAAATATATTGATTAAAAATAACATTTATGAATGGTATTATTGCGTAATACTTATTTCATAAAACATTCAAAAGTAATTTTTATTTACCACTAGTTCGGAAAATACCCCTGTCCTGGGAAAAATCAGCAAGAAACCCAGCGGAACTTTTTTTTAATCTCCAATGTATATTTAATTTATGTAATATTATAAAAATAATTATATGCGAAACAACATAATTTCATAAATACGTATGTATTTATGAAATTATGTTGTTTCGCATATAATTAAAATACGTATGTATTTATGAAATTACGTTGTGGAACGTATTGCTTTATCAGTATGCAATTTATTAAGAAATGATCATGAACTTGTGAATAATTGATTTATTTGATCTTATTCTTTGTTTCAGATTTCACCATCTATAAACGCTAATCTATATTTCAATGAAAACAAATAAAGTAGCCGGTGATGAAGTTTGAAAAACAATTTATTAAAAATGGGCGTAATAAATGGGAGATTGTTTTACGGAAGGTTTAGCACACAATCCCGATGGAGATACGTGGAAAAGAGCACTGCGGTTGTATTGTATATATTTCTTCTTATTGTAAAAAGTGATTGTCAAACGACATTCAAACACTCAAGTCAAGATGAAAGCGAAACCAAAACAGATATTCACAAGTTAGAAAGTAATTTAGAATTTAATCACTGCCATAGTTGTCGAAGTAGTAATAATTTAAATGAGAACGCAGATAAAAGCGATTCCAAAAATGATAAAGAAGATTTTAGAAATGAAAATACATATGTAACAAAATCTGAGAATTTTACGGATACACTTATAGATACTGTCAGTACATTCACGAAGAAATATTTAATTATGAATCAAACTGAAAATGAAGTAGAAAAAGAATTCGAAAAGGTATTAGATAGTGCACTAAGCAAAGATCGATACGAAATTATAGAAGGTATTGAAATAAAACCTGCAGATACAAAGAAAGCATCAAAGAATTCAAAAGAAGTAGGAATAGATGGAAGAGCATTGTTTAGCTCATACACCTACGAATACAGATTATATCAAAAGATAAAGAACTTTATAGAGACTCACATACTCTCAATAAATCTTCCAAAAGCTGCACGGTTAATTGGATTCAGATGTAATTATTTTTCTTGTTAAGAAATACGCAATGTAGAATTTTACAGATATAAGGCAGTAAATTAATTTTCCAATTAAAAATACCGTTATATATTATAGATAATATACACTTAAGGTACAAGATAATTAAATAAACTTTTTCATTTCAGCGTTTGGGATAAAGAAATTCTTTTTACCTCTAGTCATCGGCTTGCAGATCTTCAAAAGCATACTACTGGCTATGTTCCTGCCCAGTATCTTAGGAAGTTTCGGCAAGATTATTGGTAAAGGTAAGTGACAATCGTATAAAATTATATAAAGTCCTACCGCCCGAAGAGCCGATAATTGATTGGGAAGGAAGGTTAGTAGAGTGGGAACCTCGTACCGGCGCTCGGAATGTGGGACTTAGTGCTAAGACATATTATATATAATAATAAAAGCCCCGACTGCATAATATGCAATTATTTTATTCTATTAGTTATTTGACATCGCCTTTACTATTTATTAAAGCTTAAAAATATTACCCATTTGAGTGGACTAAGCTAAAATATGTGTTTTTTCTTTGGTTTTTTTTTTGTCGAGCAACTATCGTATTGATAATATGCGAACCCCTATACATTCCCATAGATTTTTCACATAATCAACAGTTATTTGATTTAAATTTGTATGTTTGCACCAAGCGCTAGACGCATAATCAAACTACAATAACCGTTTCTGCGAGTCGATCTAGCTGATCAAACAGGCGGGTAAAATGCGGTCATCTCAGATTACGTCTACACTACTTACAGCATTAACTGAAATCCTCTCTGGTGTATAAAAATAACATAATAGTTCGTAACTCATTTTATGATCTACTTTGTAGATATTTGTATGTCAAGATCCAATGGTTCTTCTCTTTCTTTAACCCAAGATATTTTATTGTAGTCCCTTTCATTGTTAGAAGGGTGTGGCATAATTGCTGTCTTTGGCAGGCTGACAGGCAATCTCTGTATTAGATATCTCGCACATTTGAATCCCAATTAATAAAAAGCAGTTGCCGAAGTTATAATAAACAATTATTTCTAAATAAATAAAATTTAATTAATAGAATCAGGAGTTCCTTTGCGGAAATCCATTATATAAAAGCTTTTAGAAAAAATCACTTCGCAAATATCCGCGTTATAAAATAAAATGATGTGTCTTACCTAGTATGAAGAGCACCTCCCACCCTCCCTCAATTGCGTGCACTATCCCTGTCACCACTAATCCCAGCACCGCTACTCCCAACACCACTACACTAGGCAAGACACACCACTCACGATAATACGACACGTGTTTCGCCTCTACACGAGGCATCCTCAGGTGATATATAGACTCTACGGTGGCTAACCGCTAAGTGAGCGGCGAGCCAAAACAAATGCCTTTTATACAGACCGATGACGCAACCGTGTCCAGTGTCCAAATGGACACTGGACACAACCTAATAATAGAGAGCCTCGCAATATGGTTGTTTGTCACCCTCACGGTGTTCGGCGATTGGTTGCGTGGTTGGAGGGTGGGCGTTGCGCGGCGGTTTGTTTTTAATTTTACAAACGGCTGCGTAAGTCCGGCGGTGATTGGTCGCATGTTTTATCGCATGACGCAGTCGCTCGCTCCTTAAGTAGAGAGTGGTTGCGTCATCGGTCTGTATAAAAGGCATTTGTTTTGGCACGCCGCTCACTTAGCGGTTAGCCACCGTAGAGTCTATATCACCTGAGGATGCCTCGTGTAGAGGCGAAACACGTGTCGTATTATCGTGAGTGGTGTGTCTTGCCTAGTGTAGTGGTGTTGGGAGTAGCGGTGCTGGGATTAGTGGTGACAGAGATAGTGCACGCAATTGAGGGAGGGTGGGAGGTGCTCTTCATACTAGGTAAGACACATCATTTTATTTTATAACGCGGATATTTGCGAAGTAAATTTTTCTAAACGCTTTTAAATAAAATTTATTTTTCTTCAGTGGGCACTGTGGCGTATTTTGCGAAAATAATTTAACGATAAATGTTTTTTGTGATTTAAAAATACATTTTTTCGAAACTTTTAATAGGGCTATTAGACAAGTTAGCAAGAGTCATTCAGTTGTCAACTTGTTAGCAATTCTTCAACGCAAAGTTGAACTTGAAATTACTTAGATCGATGAGGTGAAAAAATATAACAATTGATATACGTTCCCCTGTCTGACATATGTTTTCTCATATAAAGTGATCTGTTACTATCACTTTACTTCTTTCATCATGCCCATCATCATCATTACATCCTATCAAAAGTCACTGCTGAATACAGGAATGTTGCTGCAATGCAAATTATATTGTTCAACATGAATTGTTCTATCTGCAGAATGAACATTTAAACTGTTACTAATATTATTTATGATCCTGTACTGGAGTTTCAAAATGGTTTGAAGGTGATTTCTTATTGACGACTTAATCTCAAAGAGACACATGCAAGCAAGTTCTAGTGCTAAGTATAGGCCGTTTTCAAAGAAACTAATTTCTAAAATTAATAAAAGAATAGAATTAAAAGTTTAGTCATAGCCTAGATATTATAGCCTCTTTTACAGTACGTGAGAGGCACCAATTAAATTTGCTTATCGTAATTTTAAGTGTTGATTTACTGCTTGTTAGACAGCTAAGAAAATCATCGCAAGGAAATCCGCATGTCTGAGGGGTATGTATGAGTCATGATCATCATGATCATCATTACAACTCTTTACAAATCCAATGCTGAACATAACTGTCCCTAAGACATGCCATAAAGCACGGTCCTAAGCCACCTGCATCTACTTTCCTGCATCTCTTACCAGATCGTCACTTCATCTAGTACATGGCCATCCTACAGTTCGCTCACAGGTACGAGGCCTCAATATAGAACCTTCGTATTTCATTGGTTGCTAGTACTTCGGGCTACATAGCCGGAAAATTGCCACTTCAGATTACTGGTCTTTAGGTTATGTCGGTCACTCTAATTCTTCAAATAATTTTATTTGGACAATATAACAAAATGTTTCGAAAAACAATTTAAACATATTGGTACCACCACTAACTCTTCAGAGAATGTTACTTTTTGGACAATACAACAAAATGTTTCAAGAAAAAATTTAAAACATTTCGGTACTTACCACCATGTTGGTACCACACGACACTTAAACGTTGATGTTATAATAAAATTCCGAATTACAAATCAGCTTACTTATTTAATGATTCTTTACTGATATTATAAAGAATTAGATTTTATATATTTTAAAAGGCCACTTATATTTCAGGAATTTCTCAACTGTCCGCCGCTTCCAGTCAGGCTAGCTATCCACCAGCAAACGCTGACGATCAAAGCGCGTATAATAACGATAACAAAGACATCATGGGGTATGAGACCAACCAAGCCGGGACCTACTCATATCCTCAAGACGGACTTTATGAAGCAATGGCAGAAGCCAATGATGTTAACGATTTGTCCAACGTCGACATGTCCAGGTAAATTACTTGACCGTTGTTTAATTTTTAAGAATTGTAAAATGGGTGCAATATTGGAGGTCCACACGATAAACTTCCAAGTAGGAAATATTAATAAATCTAGAAGATATAATAATATTTATATATTTATTTAATGTTATTTACCAATATCGTTACAACCTATAAAATTCCATTTATCATAGGCCTCTCCCAGAGATTGCCTCATCGGGAGGATCTTACCTTAGTTGGTACTCTTGGCAAGCGGGTTGGCAACCGATTTTTTTAATTTCTAGTCGTTATTAGAAAGACGCTGCCCATCTCCTGATATGACACATACAAACATTGAGACCCGGATAAGCCATACAAATAGTTGATCCATGTGGGATTCGAACACGTGAACACAGAGACGTTTAACAAGTTCACTGCTGAGAATAGCCCCCCCCCCCCTCTCCTCCACCTCCTAATTAATGCCACAAAGCGCGGTCCGTCCTACATGTTTTACCCATATGAAAAAGTGTTCTTCTTTTAATAATTATGATACTATCTTACAAGTGAATTTCATAATGGAGCAACTGACTTAAATAGATAATAAGATAATAATGCGTTAACCCAACTGGTCACTAGGGCAGAAAGATGTGAAATGAAAACACTAAAACACACAAAAGTAACATATTAAAAGCACATCTAATTCCTGCATAGTGTTAAGTTGCGTTTTGCAACAATGTGTATACAACACAATGTAATAATATTTGCATGTAGTGGCATGATGCAGCTGATTATAGCTTCAGCATGAATGCGTCTTCTAGATAGTCATCACAGAATGCTAGAGTAAGGAAAACCTAAACCTAACCTAATTCAAATTATTTTACAGTTATGAGGAATTCCTTCTTAGTAATCAGTGGTAACAACGCATCTGTATTTAAATTTATTGGGGGATAGATGCTTTTAATGAGCCATAGATACTCAGCATAAATTAAACTGTGTACCCGTTTGTCAAGCGTATTGAGGAAAACTGTCAGTCGTAGGACTGCACGACGGAAGTGAATACTTCTTAGCTTCACAAACCCGTAAGATATTATAATTTAGAAACATTTTAGGAAGCATTTTTTAATAGAAATTATTTTTATCAACGTATTAATATGGTAATTTAATTTTCATCTATAGCGCTGATTTACATGAAAAAGAATGATTATTAACAAGCAAATTTATAAATACATATCAATTTTATAAAATTTAATTAATTAATTCTTCATTATTACTTTCATCAATTTTAGGTATTAGGAGCGTGAAGGTCACGCGATTCTTTTAATCGGCGCGGTCCTTTTTCCCCATCCCAAAAGTGCTTCTATACATAATTTTGAAAATTTAAAAAAAATTTATAAAAATTTTCACTTCAAAAAATGTATAGAAAGTGTTTTTAACTGAGTTCATATAAAGGGGAGGTTATTAATTCTACTGTATCTTTTTAGCTTACTAACTTTCCCGGCAGACGTTCTACTGCCCATTCCACTACGTGGCGCAAGGTTCAATCATTTATTAATTTAATATTTATTATACACCTTATAAAAAGCGTTATAAAGACTTAATGCCTTATTGCATTCTCTACGAGTCAACATAGTCAACCCTATTCACACCGGACTTTTTAGATTTACATTTATATTACATTTAGGTTTAGACATTTAGACAGTTTAAATATTTAGACGTAGTAGAGCCATGCTGCAGCTTTATTAGTAGTATAGTTGTAGCACGAATGGGGCGGCCCGACCGGGGAAAGACCACGCTCTCACAGAATACGAGCGTAAAATAGCAGTTTAACGCTGCTGTGTTTCTTATAGTGTGTGTAGAGAACCGGAGGCCCTTTTTACTGGAAAAGAGGCATTCCATCTTAGCCCTTACGGTTGATAACACATCTGCATTTTGATTCTTTATTGAGGATAGATGTTGATGTCTATGGGTCACAGCAACCACTTACCATCATCAGGTGGACTGTGTGTCACCCAATCCCATAAAAAAAATATTAGTAACTAAACCTTTTTTAGCAATGTTATTATTTATTTGATAGATAACTTTTATCTAACGATTGAAAATTTAGCGCTTAATCGGCCCTACTCATAACATTGACGTTAATTTAAGTAATTGCTCAATTATAAAGACTGGTATGTCCGATCAGTAGTAAGGCCGATTGTCAAAGTGAAGTTTATGCTATCATTCAAAGTATTTTAAACAAAGAACGCCGACGTTGTAATTCCTTTGTAGCGGGTTGGCAACAACAATCGTCGTAAACGCCACTTCTCAATAATCATTTATTAAGTTTTTCTATCAAAAATATTCTCAGTAGCAACTTGTAGTCAGGAAGTTAACCATGTTCTACCCCCTGCCTCTGAAATCTCGTAAAGCCGTTGGGCCTGCGTCTGATCTCTCTCCCGTCATTTTTTATAGGATAGGGTGACAAACGAGCACACAGTCCACCTGATGGTAAGTGTTTGCTTCGGCTCATAGACATCTACACCTATCCTCTATTACAAATCAGAATGCAGATACGCTCAATTTCACCATCGCACGTCGCGACAAAACTCGCGTTACCATCCGTACCATCTGGATGATTGGCGGTCCACCACTGTGCAATTTAGAAGAAGTTTTCTCCCTCGCACAACTTCTTTGTGGAATCAATTACCACCAGCGAATTTTCCGAACCGATACGACTAAGGAACCTTCAAGAAAAGAGCTTACACCTTTCAAAGGCCGGCAACGCATCTGCAATTCCCCTAGTGTTGCGGATATTTAGGCTGATCTTATGATAACTGAAGATGGTACCTAATTTATTTTTTTGTAAAGAATAATAGTGACAAACGAGCACACAGTCCACCTGTTGGTAAGTAAACGCTGTGACATATAAAATTTTTACTGAATTAAGAATCAAAATGCAGATACGTTGTCACCCCTAAGAACTAAGATGGATTGAGCTCTATAAAGATAGCAGTGAAAAGTCAGCAGAAACATAAAAATTGTATCCAGGAATTTGTAGCTAATTTGTTGCTAATTAGTTACCAAAATCGCGATTTTATTGCTCCAACTGGTTTTGAGTAAATTGAATTACTGCTATCTTTACGTTAAGATAGCAGTAAAAAGTTTAAATCAACCGCGCCGTAGAGGATAAAACGGGATAATTTGTTGCTAATTAGTTGCTGACATATAATGCAAAAAATTATAAAAAAAATTAAAATAAAAAAAACTCTAAAATTAAAAAAAAACATCAAAAAATAATAAAAATCAATTTTTTTTGATACTGATTCTGAAGTTCCAAATTAATGAAAATTTTGCTACTAATTATTAAATAGATTAATAACTCCCAGATAGCCTCTGCAACTACATAAAAACGAACCAGCAACCAGCAACAAAATATCTACTATCTACAAAAATTTTCATTAAAATATAGCATAATTACATACAGCATAAGCATAAGTACATAAATAATTTCTAACTAATAACGTAATGCAACTTGGCGATCTATTTTATTTTGTTGCTGGCTCTTTATTAGTTTCTGCTTCCGTTACTGACCAGCAACAAAATATCTGCTACGTTTTTTTTTCTAAAATTTTCATAGAAAAATAGCATGTACACAAATAATTACTAACTAATAACGTGGTGCAATTTCTCGATCTCTTTGCTAGCTCTAGATGAGTTGCTGCTTCCGTCATTGACCAGCAACAAAATATCTACTATCTTTTTTCCTGTAATTTTCATGTAAATATAGCATGTACACAAATAATCATTAACTTATTAGTTGGTGCAGCCTATCGATCAATTTTATTTTGTTGCTGGCTCTATACGAGTTGCTGCTTCCGTAACTGACCAGCAATAAAATATCTGCTAACTTTTTTCCTAAAATTTTCATTAAAATATAGCATGTACATAAATAATTTCTAACTAATAACGTAATGCAACTTATCGATCTATTTTAATTTTGTTGCTGGTTCTTCATGAGTTCCTGCTTCCGTTACTGACCAGCAACAAAATATCTGCTACATTCTTTTTTCTAAAATTTTCATAGAAAAATAGCATACACACAAATAATTACTAACTAATAACGTGGTGCAACTTCTCGATCTATTTTATTTTGTTGCTAGCTCTAGATGAGTTGCTGCTTCCGTTACTGACCAGCAACAAAATATCTACTACCTTTTCTCCTAAAATTTTCATGAAAACATAGCATGTACATAATTAATTTCTAACTAATAACGTAATGCAACTTGTCGATCTATTTTATTTTGTTGCTGATTCTTCATGAGTTGCTGCTTCCGTCACTGACCAGCAACAAAATATCTACTATCTTTTTTCCTGTAATTTTCATATAAATATAGCTCGTACACAATTAATTACTAACTTGTAACATTGTGCAACTTATCGATTTATTTTATTTTGTTGCTGGCTCTTTATGAGTTGCTGCTTCCGTTACTGACCAGCAACAAAATATCTGCTACCTTTTTTTCCAAAATTTTAATGTAAATATTGCATGTTCACAAATAATTATTAACTTATTACTTGGTGCAGCTTATCTATCTAATTTATTTTGTTGCTGGCTCTTTATGACTTGCTGCTTCAATTACTGGCTAGCAACAAAATATCTGATATATTTTTTTCTAAAATATTTATAAAAATTTAACTTGTAAACAAATAATTTCTAACTAATAACGTGGTGCAACTTATCGATCTATTTTATTTTTTGCTGGTTCTTTATGACTTGCTGCTTCCATTAGTGGCTAGCAACAAAATATCTGCTACATTTTTGCTAAAATTTTCATAAAAATGTAACTTGTACACAAATAATTACTAATTTAATACTTGGTACAGCTTATCGATCTATTTTTTTTTGTTGCTGGCTCTTTATGCTTTCATAACTGAACAGCAACAATATATCTGTTGTTTTGTTTTTGAATCTCCCGTATAGGCAGCATGTACACATTTATTTGTAACTTATTATTATTACAGCTTTTCGACCGATTTTATGTTCTTGTAGGCTGTCTAGGAGTTATTGATCTATTTATTAATTAGCAGCAAAATTTTCATCAATTTGGAACTACTGATTCTGAAGTTCAGTTCATCAAAACATAAATTGATTTTTATTAATTTTTGATTATTTTTTTTAATTTTAGATTTTTTAAATATTATTTTTTTTTTATAATTTTTTGCATTATATGTCAGCAACTAATTAGCAACAAATTATCCCGTTTTATCCGCTACGGCGCGGTTGATTTAAACTTTTTACTGCTATCTTAACGTAAAGATAGCAGTAATTCAATTTACTCAAAACCGGTTGGAGCAACAAAATCACGATTTTGGTAACTAATTAGCAACAAATTAGCTACAAATTCCTGGATACAATTTTTATGTTTCTGCTGACTTGTCTCTGCTACCTTTATAGAGCTGATGGATTGCCTTGTTTCCAGTAAAAAGGGTCTCCGGTTCTCTACACTCACCTTACGAAACACAACAGCATTCAGCTGCTACTTTACGCTGGTATTCTGTGGAGTGTGGACTCCGGTCGAGCCGACCCATTCGTGCCACAACTACAATATCTATTTCTTCTGTTATAGGTTCGGTGCTGGCGGGCAGAAAGTATCATATCTCCCTACTAAGAACAGTTACTACAAGAATCAAATGTCCAACAGCAACAACTATAAGGTAAATCACTTTTTACTTATTATATTATTCTTAGAGAATTTATTTTAAAACAAAAATAAACTAAGTTTAATCACTTTTTCCTGCGGTTTTACGATATTTATACCACGTGTCCCAAAATTCAACGTTAAGTGCTCAACGGAAAGGTTTTGTGGTCTTTTATACAAGACATTTTTTAAATAATAATTTGTAACCTCAGTCAAATTATAATACCATTGCTGACCATACTTTGACACAAATAATACGTTCTGTACAGCTGCAGGTCTCCTAGCGTCTTAATCATCTATCTCAAGAGGTAATCTGTGATCAGCACCGTGGGCTGCATTATTGCGTATATTAATGTTACTGCACTACATGTATGTAATATATTTAATGTAGCTGTTAGCTGTTCCACTTTGAATAAATAAATAAATGAGCACCAGGGATTGGTCAAATTGATGTCTACCCATGGCAAAAAATACGACTCTTTTTTTAAGTATTTAATAAGATAATTATTTAAATACTAAGATAATTATATTATCTTATTATACAGGGTGGCCCATAAGTCCCTTGAAATGTAAAAAAATAATAAAAAAAAAACTAATGACATTATGAAAAAGGTTTTTATTTTGTCATAATCCTTATAAAATGGGAATTATTTTTTGAAAATTACATCATCTAAATGTAATCCGTTACGATCGCGGCACTCCTGTAAGCGACGTTTAAAATTATCCATCACTGCGTGGCAAGTAAGCTCTGTAATGTTTGCCATTTCTCTTTGGATATTTTCTTTCAGGACGTCAATTGTCCGCGGGTTGGTTTTGTACACTTTAGTCTTAAGATAACCCCATAAGAAAAAGTCCATTGGGGTCAGATCTGGACTACGTGGTGGCCAAGGAATATCTCCTCTTCGAGAGATCACTTTATTAGGGAAAAGTTGACGGACGACCGGCATAGCGACGTTAGAGGTATGGGCAGTTGCTCCATCTTGTTGAAACCAGGTCCGCGTATTGAAGCCTGGAAAATTCTGCAACTCTGGTGTAAAAAAGTCCTGGATCATAGCTACATACCGTTGTGAAGTAACAGTAAGCGCGCGGCCTCTGCCGTCCTCAAAAAAGTAAGGGCCTATAATGCCGTGCGCTGACATAGCCGCCCAAACTGTCACTTTAGGGCTATGTAAGGGCTTTTGATGTTTGCGATTTGGATTTTCGCAACTCCAGTAGCGACAATTTTGCTTATTGACATGGCCGTTGATGTGCAAGTGAGCCTCATCAGAGAATAACACATTATTAATCGAAGTAAAGCGGTTCAACATTTCATTTGCGAAATTTAGTCTGTGGATAGTGTCAGTATCTTTTAATTCCTGTACTAACTGAATCTTGTACGGGTGAAGATGTAAATCTTTCTTTAAAATTCGCTGTAACGATGTTCTGGGTAAGTTTAATGCACTGGAACGCTTACGAGTAGACTGGGTAGGATTTTCACGAATTGAGTGTTTCACTACATCGATGTTTTCTTCCGTCCGTGATGTCCTTGGTCGACCTGACCGTTGTTTATCCAACGTCGAACCACTCTCTTCGAACTTAATAACCCAGTTCTTAATCGTTTGAACACTTGGAATGTCTTTAAAGTTGCGTAAATTCTGATATTCTCGAAATTTACGCCGCGCAATGGTAGCCGAATCATTGTTTCGATAAAACTCGCGCACACAAAATGCACGGTCCGCACCGGTGAAACGCTCCATGGCGACTGAATTCCCAGAAACCGTCGGTACTCCCCCCGCACCGCGCGCGCCACTCATGCGCGCCTTTTGTATTTTATTCGAAATTTACATTTCTAACGACTTATGGGCCACCTGGTACTTTAAAATTTCACACGCTACAATATTTTTATATACTATGACTACAAATTTGCAAATATCACTTTTTTTGGCCACGCATGGCAAGAGGGTTGGCAACAGGTGTTATTTTTTTTAATTGTTATTAGGAAGACGCTACTGCCCCTCTCTTGGTTTGTTTTCCTCTGTCACCTCTTAGGTAGTAGATATTTTCGCCGCCACTACACGATAGTAAAGGGGTTATTAATATACATAAACGGAAATTAACTGCAATCAGACCCTCCCAAATTACTACATGCTGAATTTCACATGCTGATTCAGGCTCGTCGTAAACCAAGTAACACACAACGGTCATATCTAAACCACGAAACATATTGCCGATATTAGATTAATAATAATAATAAATTTATTCATAAGAAATATGGTACAAAGATGTTCGTATGAAATAATAAAGTATCACATATTTCACCAATATTGGTATATGAAAACTTGTTTGATTGCGTTAACATAACGCTTTACAAACGGTAAACTGCATTTAACGTTTAATCTCATGCCTCAGAAATACGAGACGAGTTCACTTTATATTCACCCTATTTGAATAATCCAATAAGATTTGAGCGTCATTTTTTTTTCATAAAATTTAAGTGACAAAGGAGTTTACAGTGCACCTGATGATTAATCGCTACTATGTTGGTAACTAGCAACTAGAAAGTTACAAATGCGTTGCTCTGATCACTAAGATGAAATGCCTTACAACCTATAATTACACTGGCTCTTCTATATCCAAGAAACCTTTCGTTTTCTGTTACAAGATGTTTTATTACACACAAAGTGCATGTTAAACCTTTTTTTACTTTAAGCTATTTATTCAGCAATTAATGTAAGCTACCTTCTAGCTGTCCGAAGTTGTTGGAGTATTTGTTTTGTGGCGGCGCTGTCGTCGCGCCACAAGCGAAACACATCGAAGCCTAAATCGCGCTATCAAAGTTCCGAAATTAAAGCAGCATATATAGAATAGCTCCGAACTACCAATCGGAGCGCTGGCCGCTCCCCGGGCAGAACACCTTGCCCGGCGGGAGATCTCCCCTTTTCCTTCCACCCGCTACAGTTTTATAAACGGTTTTTTCATACTATATACCTGGTAGGTACTTATATACGTGATAGAGCCATGCTGCAGCTATATTATGGTTGTACGAATGGGTCGGCTCGACCGGGGAAGGAGCACACTCTCACAGAATACCAGCGAAAAATAGCAGCTTAACGCTGTTGTGTTTCGTATGGTGAGTGTAGAGAACCGGACACCCATTTTACTGGAAACGAGGCATTCCATCTTAGTCCTCACGGGTGACAACGCATCTGCATTTTGATTCGTAATCGAAGTTAGATGTAGATGTAGATGGCTACAGCAACCACTTACCATCAGGTGGACTGTGTACTCATTTTTCACCCTTATCCTAAAAAAAAATTTTTGCTCAGTAGGACAGCGAATGGTAAAACGAGACTCATTTTCGATATAGAATCCAGGCTTTGTACAATTTGGTACGGTTTACAAAGGCATTAGAAAATGTACAACTTGACGGAATATTATAAGTTGTATCGTTTTTTCTCGTGCATTTAAAAATTTGCTAGGTGACCACCTAGATAGATAACACTCCGTTACCGTTACCGTTACAGCCTATTAAAGTCCACTGCTGAACATAGATCTCCCCATAGGTTGCCTCATATTTGCCACAGTTGCCACGCTTGGCATGCGAGTCGGCAACCGCAGTTTTTTTATAATTTTAAGTAGTTATTAGGAAGTCGCTGCTGCCCATCTCTTGGTATTTTTCCTTACGGACTTAAATGTGATGATGAACAAAGGGAAGTCATATCTTAGTACTGTCATATGTGTAATAAATTATTACACATATGATACTGTGATGTCCATTTGGAAATTTATTGACGCTGACACCTAGTCAATTTATTCGCTAGATGTTAGTCCTTCTATCCTACATTAATATTATAAATGTGAAAGTTTGTGAGGATGTATGGATGTTTGTTACTCTTTCACGCAAATACTACAGAATGGATTTTAATGAAACTTTACACTATTATAGCTCATACATCAGAATAACATACAAGCTATAAATCATAAAGATATTGTATACATTGGCTGAAATATAACGATAAATGTTAAGTAAGTCTGAAAAAAATCTGTCATCTGCGAGCTATTTTGGCGTGAACACGCATCACGCAAAAACCTGTGAACCGATTTAGATGCGACTTTCACTGACAGATAGCTGATGTTATAAAGAGTATTAGGCTAATGTTATTTTAGGGTTCCGCCAAAAAAAAAATTCCACGCGAGTGATATCAACAGCTAGTTTTAAATAAATCACTGTAACAAAACTTATTTTTACGATTCATATTCTTTTATCATAGCAAAGTTCTTGAGATTCTTTGACCCACTTGTAGACATCCAACCCGGTTACAATATTATAAGATTACTTGTTTATGGCTAATACAAGTATTGTATGTTTCTATATTTCTCATTCAATTTTATTAAAAATAATCTTTAAATAAAAACTTACAATAATAACATAATTTTTACTTAATAGCTTCTGAGATATGTGCTACAGACGTGGCACAGACGTCATGATCATCGGCATGGTCATCGTCATCGTCATTGGTCATCGTCATGGTCATCGTCATGGTCATGGTCATCGTCATGGTCATGGTCATCGTCATGGTCATGGTCATCGTCATGGTCATCGTCATGGTCATCGTCATGGGCATGGTCATCGTCATGGTCATCGTCATGGTCATGGCTATTGTCATGGTAATGGTCATCGTCATGGTCATCGTCATGGTCATCGTCATGGTCATCTTCATCGTCATGGTCATAGTCATCGTCATTGTTCATCTTCCTCGTCATGGTCATCGTCATGGTCATGGTCATGGTCATGGTCATCGTCATGGTCATCGTCATGGTCATCTTCATCGTCATGGTCATCGTCATGGTCATGGTCATCGTAATGGTCATCGTCATGGTCATGGTCATTGTCATGGTCATGGTCATCGTCATGGTCATCGTCATCGTCATGGTCATGGTCATCGTCATGGACATAGTATCGTCATTGTCATCGTCATCGTCATTGGTCTTCTTCATCGTCATGGTCATCTTCATCGTCATGGTCATGGTCATCGTCATGGTCATCGTCATCGTCATTGGTCATCCTCATCGTCATGGTCATGGTCAATGTTATCGTCATGGTCATGATCATCGTCATGGTCATCGTCATGGTCATCGTCATCGTCATGGTCATGGTCATGGTCATAGTCATCATCATGGTCATTGTCATCGTCATCGTCATGATCATGGTCATCGTCATCGTCATGGTCATGGACATGGTCATAGTCATCATCATGGTCATTGTCATCGTCATCGTCATGATCATGGTCATCGTCATGGTCATCGTCATCGTCATGGTCATCGTCATCGTCATTGGTCATCTTCATCGTCATGGTCATCTTCATGGTCATGGTCATGGTCATCGTCATGGTCATCGTCATCGTCATTGGTCATCTTCATCGTCATGGTCATGGTCAATGTCATCGTCATCGTCATGGTCATCGTCATGGTCATCGTCATAGTCATGGTCATCGTCATGGTCATCGTCATGGTCATGGTAAACGTCATGGTGGTCATCGTCATGGTCATGGTCATGGTCATGGTCATGGTCATGGTCATGGTCATCGTCATGGTCATCGTCATGGTCATGGTCATCGTCATGGTGATCGTCATGGTCATGGTCATCGTCATCGTCATTGGTCTTCGTCATCATCATGGTCATGATCATGATGATCATAGTCATCGTCATGAGCAAGGTTATCGTCAAGGCCATCTTCATCGAAAGGCATATAGCCACCCTGCAGCTATATTATGATTCTAGCATAAATGGGTCGGTTCGAACGGGGTAGTATTACTCAGAACACAGTACACCAGTGTAAAACAGCAGCTTAATGCTTCTGTGTTTCGTATGGTGACTGTAAAGAACCGGAGACCCTTATTACTGGAAACGAGGCATTCCATCTTAGTGGTTGTCGTTGGTGATAACAAAAATCTGCATTTTGATTCTTAATCGAGGATAGATGTAGATGTCTATGGGCCACAGCAACCACTAACCGTCAGGTAGACTATATGCCCGTTTATCATACATTATTCTATAACAAAAAATAACGTTATTTCTTCAGTAGCTACTATGTGAAAATTATTTAGTTATTTTTAGATTTAAAATTTTATTTTTCATTAGTTAAATGTTTTACCTTTGTTGGCCGACTGAGCAATATCACAAGCTTTATGTTTGCATCAAGAATATCGTCTAAATAATTAGCATCTTTTATTTTTGCATTCTTATTAGTGGGCGTTTCTATTCAAATGTTTATAGAACTAGTCGTATTCTCAAAACATTGCCTATCTAGTAAATAAGCAAGGTTTTTTTTTTATAGGATAGGGTGACTAACAAGCACACAGTCTACCTGATGGTAAGTGGTTGCTGTGGCCCATAGACATCTACATTAATCTTCGTTTGCGAATCAAAATGCAGATGCGTTGTCACCAGTGAGGACTAACATGGAATGCCTCTTTTCCAGTAAAAAAAGATCTCCGGTTCTTTACACTCACCATACAAAACACAACAGTGTTAAGCTGCTATTTTACGCTGGTATTCTGTGAGAGCGTGGTCCTTCCCCGGTCGAGCCGACCCATTCGTGCTACAACTATACTACTAATATAGCTGAAGCACGGCTCTACCACGTATAATTTTAATTGTGTTTTAAAACAAAACCCGACTGCGTAAAAAATATAACATATAAAATATTCGTAATGCGATTATAAAACAACTCTATCACAGCTTTATTATAAGTTTTGAAAATTTAAGCGAGAATGGTCGCTAACCAACATTTAATCATTATAGATCCTAAATGGTCATTCAAAATAAAAAAAATACTAGAGAATCCCGAATAAGAATTTCAAAGATAATCAATGTTAACCCATTTAACATCTAGCCTTATTTTTTCTTTTAAGCAATATGGCTTCTGGTTGTTGCCATATTGAATTTTGATTACTGTCAAGTCTTTAGTGACACACAAGACTAAGAAATATCGATTAACGTAAGAATCATCAAAATAGGCCCACGACTTTCGTTTCTAGAACGCCAAAAAAGACAAACATACATACATACATATCTACAAACATACGTACATACACATTACCCTCTGTAATCGCGTAAAAAGCAGTTAATTAAATCGGTTCGTTCACCGTTTCGAGAACTCGAAGCTAGTTTAAAAAAAGTTACAGCCTACGAGTATATACGTCCCAATGCGGGGCACAGGCCTTCCCTCATTTCTGAGAAGGTTTTAGGGCAAGGAAGTGTCCGTCGCGATGCCCCAATGCGTGTTGGCAAACTTCACATGTCTTCGAAATATTTTTTTTTATTTCTCAGACATGCCGGTTTCCTTACGATGTTATCCTTCACCGCAGAGCACGTGGTAAATAAGCACTTAAAATTGCAATTAACAATTTCATTCGTACTGGCTTGCTCGCATACTGTGAAATTTACAGCGAGGGCTAACCATCTGAGCTACCACGGCTCCAATGAAATCGATGTACATACATACAAAAAACATGCGCGTTGAATAAAACACCTCCTCAGTTCTAGAATCGTTTAATAGCGTACTAATAAAAAGAAGTTGTAAAAAGAATAAGCAATTATTATTTTAATAAAGTATAAAAAAGAATTATATAAATTATTAAAAAATATCCATTACCTTATATCACCCCGTGGATGTCGTAAGAGGTAACAGGGGGAAATTGAAACAGAAGATAGGCAGTAGCATTTTCCGGTCTTTATTTAACGCCTGGCATAAACGGAATTAATAAGCTTAAGTAGCAATAGGCCGGCCATATAGCTCGAAGAACCGACAACCGATGGGGTAAAAAGGTTCTCGAGTGGCGGCCTCGTACCGGCGGACGACGTGTAGGGCGTCCCCACACTAGATGGAGTGACGACCTGGTAAGACATGCATTGAGTCGATGTATGCAGGTGGCTCAGCACCGTGTTTGTGGCATTCCTTGGAGGAGGCCTATGTTCAGCAGTGGACTTGTGAAGGGCTGTAATGATGATGATGATGATAAACAGGAAGATTTTACCGCCAAGACTTTCCAGAGTTTTCTTCTATGACACCTATGGAATGACCTGAAGTGGTGATTTCTTTTACGCCTCCACCACACGACATTAAGTTTTTTGTTTTTTTTTTAACATACTATATTCTTTCTTGTAACGGTGTATATAATATATCAAAGCATAATTAAAATATATAAACTTTGGCCTCACAGTATTTTTACGAAGATTTAATGTATGTTCACAAGAACAAAAGTAGTTTTGGTAAAAAAGTGATATACACTCTGTAAACACTACGAACAAACACAAGCTGGTGATACCATTTTCTCGATTCTACCGGGATTTATTCTTGGCGCAATATAACGCTATTACAACAATGTCCAAGAAAATATACAAGGTCTCTATATTGCCAAAATTATATATTTTACTAAATAAAAACTGTATAAAAAGAGTTATTATATTAAAAATTAATATATGGTTGTTAATAACCCCTGGGAATGAGGTGGTCGCTTCCAAGCTGTTTCTAAAATAAATTTTGTAAATAGTTTGTACAACCTTTCATATTGTATAATTTCCTTCGTCCCGCTGTGTTTTTTGCTCGTTTTTCCTAGGACAGAGATGTTCTTCCGAACCAGTGGTAAATTAAAAAAAATACTTTCAATATAAATTACATGTAATACATATTAAATAAATAATATTATATTCTATTCTATCGTAGAGTTGTCTTTAAAAAAATATTATGTTATCATTTAAAATTAATATTTTCATTTTCAGGTTTTCCAGAAGATTCCGTCGTCATCGATGATCCTAAATAATTACGACCCGTTTTATTCACCACTACTTTCTCGTCTGGATGGTATCTTCGCCAGATTAGGTAAGCGAAAGCTAATTCTATGACTATTAAACATGAAGTGTATTTAATTTTAAACTAGCTGGTTAGCGTTATTTACTGCCGCAGAAAACATAATTGTGCAAATATCGCTCTAAATTTGGAAAAATTATATTGTTTAACTAGAAATGATAATACATTAATTGAAGTTGAATCATACATGACTTTAAAATATATTCGTCGGTACGATACGCGCGCCACTTACTGTAAGTTAATTGTACTACGCCTATAACCATCGCGCAAGTACAAGCATTAAGATGACAAAGATTTTGCGCAATCTTTTTTTTATATAGAAGAGGGGTCAAACGAGCATGCGGCTCACCTAATGATAAGTGACTACCGCCGCCCATGAACAACCGCAATACCAGGGGAATTGCAGATGCGTTGCCGGACTTTTAAAAAGATGTAAGCTTTATTCTGGAAGGTCCCTAAGTCGTATCGGTCCGGAAAAATCGTCGGTGGTAAACAATTCCACAGAGAAGTTGTACGAGAAAGGAAGTTACACGTGGTAGAGCCATGCTGCAGCTATATTAGTAGTATAGTTGTAGCACGAATGGGTCGGCTCGACCGGGGAAGGACCACGCTCTCACAGAATACCAGCGTAAAATAGCAGTTTAACACTGGTGTGTTTCGTATGGTGAGTGTAGAGAACCGGAGACCCTTTTTACTGGAAAAGAGGCATTCCATCTTAGTTCTCACGGGTGACAACGCATCTGCATTTTGATTCGCAAACGAGGATAAATGTAGATGTCTATGGGCCACAGCAACCACTTACCATCAGGTGGACTGGGTGCTCGTTTATCACACGATCCTATAAAAAAAAAAGGAAAAGGAAGAAAACTCCTAGTAAAACGCACAGTAGTGGACCGCCAAGTATCTAGATAATGAGGATGGTATCGTGAATTTTGACGCGATGTGCGTTCGTGAAATTTGTCTGATGGAATTAATAAGAATCTGATGAACGTTATGTTATATGGTGCATAAAATACGAACAAACAAACATTAATGTTTATATATTAGGATAGGTAACGAACCCTTGTGTACTAGTTGTCAGAGACATTATGTATCTAACTTCAAACAGCAGAACCACCAGTGAGTTACATATTATGCCTAACGGAACCTTATATGGCATCAGGAAGTCACCTACCATACAGCACGGCCTGCTAAGCAAATAACAGGACGTCTTTTACGTGACTTAAGAATATTCAATATAGTATAAAACCCAGGGTCTAATTGTTAAGACAACCCAGTAGTAGTAAAGTTAGTTTGTAAGTTAGTTTAGTCTAGTAATCCTGTGTACTCACATCATCACAGTAGTTTAATTAATTTGTAAGTTAGAAAATAAAAGTAATATAAAAGTCTTCTTCTCCTTCCACTTCAACCCTCCCTAAGCTGCCGCAAACTTAAGTAATAATACGTTCCGGGGCGTTTGTATAATATGTTGGTAGTAGTTTTTAGTTACCAAAAATTACACGAATTACCGTAAGATGGTGGTGTAAGAATATCCACTACCCCATATCATCCCGTGGGTGCCCTAAGAGGTGACAGAGGGAAACAAATCAGTAGATGGGCAGCAGCGTTATCCTAATAACAACTAAAAATAAAAAAATGGTGGTTGTCAAACCGCTTACCAAGCGTGACAACTGTGGCAAATATTCTACCTATGAGGCAATCTATGAGGAATTACAACTCAGGCGTTCTTTGTTTGAAATACGAACTTTCAATGTTATCAAAAGCTTCATATTAACAACCGGCCTTAATCGCAGATTAACACATACTTGAACTAAGTATTAATTATCTCCACACCTGTCTCTTTCGTTTGTCATTTAATGAAAAGGGAGAGATATGTAACTTTTAATTTCTAAAAAATATTTTAACATTTATTTATATAACATTGAAATGATTGTATGCAATATTAAAAAAAACTATAATAAAAAAAAAACTAAAAACTTAAATTATCATACAGTCCTACTCTCCATGGTATAGTGCCAAGAATACTGACTGCGTTTCCTCGCTTGATACTTAGCCTAGCCTTTGAGAAAAAAAAACAAGCCCTCTTATTATCCAGCAGCAACGATACAGTACATTTAGGAACTTCACTGAACGTGGACCCCACGGACCAATAGTCTCTACAGCCAAAGGCACTATGTAGTTTTCTCTCAGAGACTCACTATTGCGCCACTTACATAGTTCAGCTGCCTCTGATGCCACGCCGGCTCTATACAAGGTACCCCTGAAATGAGCGGCTGCCAAAGTGTCTACGCAAGTAGCATACCACACTAGGGCTTTACCTTTCTCCCAGGGGACCAATGTCATCCCGTCGGCAGTCCACACTTCACTCGTCGGAGGAGGCCAATGAGGCGATTAGCGCCCTATCGGCCCACCTCACCTCTATAGTTGAGGAATGCTCTTGTAAGGTTCGTGTGTCGAGCAATCAATACATGAAGCTGTATTGATTGCTCGACACACAAAGTGGTATTCGACAACTGATCATAGCAAAAAACGCAGCCCTGAGACAATACGATCACTATCGTACTTTAGATAACGAATTCTGACTGCGCAACCTCCACAACGAGGTGAAATAGTGCATTAAAGTATTTAGACAGGACAAGTAGGATAATCTGCTGAACGACATCGAGCCATTGCAAACTACCTTCTGGTAGTTGACGCGAGCTCTGAAAGCAGAACAATCCTCACCTATGCCGCCTCTTATCAGACCAGGAAAACCCGATCTCGCCTTTGACGACTCCGAAAAGGCCGAATGCCTCGCTGACAGTTTAGGTAGTCAATGTACTCCCTCTAGCGAACCTACAGATCCCACTCACCTTGCAGAGGTCGAAGCGGAGGTCGTGCGTAAGTCTGCACTACCACCTGCGACCGACCCCCTAGAACCTGTGACTGTCGACGAAGTCATAGAATGAGTTCTTATATTTACGCGAACCCTTCACATTTAAATAAAACTAATTATACGTATTTTACCGCGTATATTAACTTATTTCATATTCCCGACGTTACGAGCACTTTTCAGCACCCATGGTCACGGAGGTCAGATGAAAGCACCCAACCATCTTCTCTATTGAAATTAGGATGTTTTTTGATTTCAATAGCCCCGCGAATCATCCTTGGAAGGAATCGGTATTCTTTAGCGAGGATTTGTGGTCTATCAAATCTAATGTAGTGACGGGGCCGATCCTGTACATATTTACAGACTGTAGACTTCCCGGAGCGTCGATTCTTCACATCAGCTATGTGTTCTTTAACACGGGTATTTATGGATCTTTTAGTTTGTCCTATATAAGAGAGACCACATCCACAATCAAGCTTGTACACTCCTGCATCTTGCAGAGGAATATTACACTTGACTGAAGGTAAAAACTGACTAATCTTCTTCGACGGCTTGAAGAATGTTTTAATGGAAGCCCGCTTCAAGATGTAGCCAATCTTGTCAGTGACACCTCTGACATATGGCAGTACAGCAGGCACTCGCTCGACTGTGGCCAGCTTCACTCGTTCACTGTGACTTAGGCGCGGGACCCGAAGCTTATTGTCGTGCAGCACTTGCTTGAGGTGTTGGAGCTCGGCGGCCAGGTGTTTACTGTCACAGAACCCTTGTGCTCTCTGAAACAAAGATTTATCCACGGTAGCTAACTGTGAAAGATGGTGGTGAGAATCACCGTTTAAATATCTATCTGTATGGGTCTTTTTTCTATACACAGTATGGCTCAAGGTGTTATCAGGATTCCGAATTACTAACACATCTAGAAAAGCTAAAGAATTGTTTGCCTCTAACTCCATAGTGAACTGAATTTTAGAATTTAACGAGTTAAGATGGTCTAAAAATGCAGTTACTTTATCTAAAGGTAGAATTGAGAAAGTGTCGTCATACACCTCAGTCCTCCCCCCCCTGTGACCATGGGTGCTGAAAAGTGCTCGAAACGTCGGGAATATAAAATAAGTTAATATACGCGATAAAATCCGTAAAATTAGTTTTATTTAAATGTGAAGTCACAGAAGTTATTAAAATCCTTACAAAGAAATCAGCACCCGGACCCGATCGCATTAGCAAGAAGGTACTGAAATCTTTCTTTGCGCCGTTAGTTTTCCTCCTAGTAGGCATATTCAACGCTCTTCTTTCCAGTTGCTCGGTCCCAGATGCATGAAAAGAGGCAGACGTAATAATCCCGAAACCGGGGAAATCGGATGGGACGCAGAGAGTCCGCAGACGGGTGCGCCGAACTCCCCTCCACACCGTATACACACCGTACACCCTCGTCCCTGGGCGGTTCTCACCGTCCAGAATATCGAACGATACGAGTTAGCCGTCAGAGCCGAGGCCCGCCACCCCCTGTTCGGAAAGCCGTTAGATAACTCATCCATGTTATACTAATGTGATCACTGAACTGAACACAATATTATCCCACTTCTCCAAGATTATCGATTTTAGTGCAAAGTCGCGTCCGCAACGATGCACTTAAATAACGAATCTCCCCCGATATTAATATAAGGAAAAATAAAAAGTAAAGACCACTTTCCCAGCATTTTTCAATAGTTTTTCTGTCCGCCAAAATTAGTGAATCTATCGAAGAAATTCGATTTATTCTGAAGGTTTATAATCAAAAGAGGAAAAATGCGGCTCAAGCCGCGAAAAAAATTGTGGCGTTTATGGACCTAATGCAGTGTCAGAAAGAGTAGCATAAAGTTGATTCAAGAGTTTTCAGTTCGAATTTTGATGCCAAATATACAGCTGAAAATAAAAGTTAGACAATCAAACTATTTTATTCACACAACTGTAACTTTTAGCTTATACGTTAATTTTTTAATATATCAGTTTTTTATTATATACAATATTAAAAACTATATTAAAAAAAACTAAAACTAGTAACTTAATTATCATACGGTCCTACTCCACGCGGTATCGTATAAATAACTTTTATCTGATGGTTGATAATGTAAATTTAAAAATTTTGTATAACCGACTTCAACATAAACTATTAAGAATAACACTAAAACTATTGGCCTGACCTTGATCAAATTTATATGGGACCACATGAGAAGCACAAGCTTTCATATAAAAAAAGAATTATCGAAATCGGTTCACCCAGAAAGAAAAGAGTTATGAGGTAACACATCGAAGTCTAAATCGCGCTAACAAATTTCCGAAGTTAAAAGCAGTAAATATAGAATAGAGTAGCATTGGCCGCTTCCCGGGCAGAACACCTTGCCCGGCGGGAGATCTCCCTTTTTCCTTCCACCCGCCACAGTGATGACCACCCGACGTGAAATGAACACGCAACCAACATCCTTCGGAAACTACACCTTCAAACCTTCATCATCCTCAAGTACCCCATTCATTCGCTCCCGAGCAGATATTGTCTGCAGTCTTGATGTTCTGCAAGCCATCTAGCTTTACAAGGTTCATCGCAGCACTGGAATAATATTGTTTCCTGTTCCTTCAAGCTACTCTCTGCGATACAGTGTTCAGCACGGCTCTGAGCCTACTACTCGCCTCTGCTTCACGGCACTATAGCAGATCACTTGCCTTCTTCTCGACTCACCGCAGACTACAGGGCAATCCCTGGCACTTGCAAATTCGTCGACATCTAGACTGCACTATCGACCTCCGGTCTCAGCAAGGGGTGATGTGGCGGCGCTGTCGTCGCGCCACAAGCGAAACACATCGAAGCCTAAATCGTGCTAACAAAGTTCCGAAGTTAAAAGCAGTATATATAGAATAGCTCCGAACTACCACTCGGAGCATTGGCCGCTCCCCGGGCAGAACACCTTGCCCGGCGGGAGATCTCCCATTTTCCTTCCACCCACCACAACACATTTAAAAAAAACATATCGTCGAGTTGAGTACGTCTCCTTTTTGAAGTCGATAGAAAATATTAATAGGGAAAAGTAAGAATAGTTATTAAACTAAATTAATTAAGTATATTATTAAGCAAAATTCTCACAAAGTCGATAGTAGGTAAAGTTATTTCATAAAAATCAAGCAAAGTCTGCAATTTCAAACAAATAACTTTTTAATATAGCTTATTTTGAGATCGTTATACGGCCAGATTTTTGATCCCATATACATCAAATTAAAACCACATATTGCTTCATCTTAAAATTCTTCGCGAGTTTCAGACGGAGCTCACTTTGATATCAAAATCCAATATAAAGACTCGCGTTTCGCGAAATTGTATTAGAAGTAAATTCTCTTTATTCTTGTAACGCTTTTGTTTCATAAAAGTATTAAATAAAGTAAAAGTAAAGATACAGCCTATATACGAAACAGGCTTTCTCACACTTTTAAGAAGGGTTAAGACTAAGAAATTGTCAGTCGCGCTGCCTCAAATGGGTATTAGTGGAATTTACATGTCTTCTTTTTTTTTTAAATCTCAGACATGCAGTTTTCCTTACGATATTTTTCTTCAACTCCGATCACGTGGCAAATCAGCATCTAATATTACATTTAACAATTACATTGATGCCGACGAAAATCCAGCACCTGGGTTACCACGGCACTCACAACATTAATAAAATTTTAGTATAGATAGATACTTAATCGAGGATAATAGGTCCCTATGTTCCATCCTCTTATGATCAGTTGGGCTGTGTCATCATTCATCATCATCATCATCATCATTACAGCCCTTCACAAGTCCACTGCTGAACATAGGCATTTGTGGCTCCTTTTTTTGTCTTCCTCAAGCAATGCCACAAAGCACGGTCTCGAGCCACCTTCATCCATTGACTTCCGAATTGTCTTACCAGGTCGTCACTCCCTCTAGTTGGAAGATGCCCGAGATGTACGAGGCTGCCACTCGATAACCTTTCTTCCCCATCGATTTTCGGTTCTTCGAGCTATATGGCCGGCTCATTGCCACTTCAGCATACTGTCTTTGCGCTATGTCGGTTACTCTGGTTCTACTGCGGATATTCAGATTTCTAAGTATATCACGCAGAGAAACCTCCCTCCATAGCTAGCTGAGCGACTTCCTCATATATCCAGCAGTAAAGGACCACATCTCAGATCCATAGGTAATCACTGGCAACACGCACTGGTTGTACAATCTAGTTCTGAGGTTTTGAGGTATGTCTGACAAGAAGATGTGTTGAAATCTACCGAACGATGCCCAGCCGAGTTGAATCCATCGATTGACCTCTCGGTCTAAGTTGCATTTACCTAGTCGGACTATGTACCCCAGGTAAACATACTCATCAACAACTTCGAGCTTAGTGCTTCCAACAACTACCGGCATAGGTGTGATATGGACATTAAACATAATCTTTGTTTTGTCCATGTTCAGCTTAAGACCTATCCGTTGGGAGACATTATTGAGGTCATTGAGCATAGTGCTTAGGTCCTCCAGCGATTCTGCCATAAGGACTATATCGTCGGCAAATCGAAGGTGAGTGATGTACTCGCCATTGACGTTAATACCGTATCCTTTCCAGTCTAATAGCTTCAAAACGTCTTCCAATGCAGCCGTAAAGAGTTTCGGGGAGATTACGTCACCCTGTATTAAACCTCTCTGCAGTTGGATAGGTTTCGTAATCTGGTTCTGTACTCGGATAGCCATCGTAATTGTGTAAATACTTCAGAACTTCGATATACCGACAATCAACTTGGAATCTCTGAAGGGACCGCCTAAATTTCGACGGAACCAAAGTCTTTCTCATAGTCCACATACACCAGATATAGTGGCAAATTGTACTCCTAGAAGATTGCCATGCAGTGGACGATAGGAATGACAAGCTCGTAGAAACTATCCATGCGGTCGGAGCTAAGTTTTGCAAGACCCGCCGCAGAAGAACACAAAAACTCTCCGATCACACTCTTAATCTCATGGCTGTTAGACGGGATACGAAGCTGCAGACTTCAGTAGATTTGACAGTATACAGGTAACTGAACAGACAGATCTCCAAATGCATGTGGCGGAACTTACGCAACTTTAATACTGCTCGTATTGAAGAAGAGATTGAGCGGAATCAGGGCTCCAAAGTCTTTGCTAGCATATACTCATAGTATTGAAGTTGCGTAAGTCCCGCCGCAGGCATTTGGAGATCTGTCTGTTCAGTTGCCTGTACACTGTCAAATTTGCTGAAGACTGTAGCTTCATTTTCCGTCTAACAGCCACGAGGTTTAAGAGTCTAATCGGAGATTTTTTGTGTTCTTCTGCGGCGGGTCTTGCAGAACTTAGCTCCGACCTCATGAACAGTTTCCACGAACTTTTCATTCATATCGAACCCGCTGCATTGCAATCTTTAGGCACTTAAAATGGTTCTGCAGCTCGAGGTGAAAGGTTTCGGAACTCTGGATTAAATAAAGCACGAGGGGACGGAGCGTTGACTTCATTAGACGAGATCTGCCAACTTAACGTTTAGGTTCAATGTGCCTCAAACCAATCGGTGATCGCTACCAGTTATCACCCTAGCGATCGCAGAGACATCACTGAACGGTTGTCGTCTGGTCGTTACAATGAAGTTAATCTCATTTTTTGTCGAACCGTCGGGGCTGGACTAGGTCCACTTCCTGTGAAACCGCTTTTGAAGAAACGGAACCCTCTGGTTCCGTTGCCCTATTCCGAATTGCTTCCTTCACCTCGTCGTTTTCTCTTGTACCTAGTTTTGTGTTGAATTCTCCCATTAACACCGTATAATGGTTTTTCGCGGAATGCATAGTTCTAGATATATCCTCATACATTTCCTCCACCTCCTCATCGGGATATGCCGAGGTTGTTGGGTTAGCCTGTATGACTTTCAGCGAAGACGGACCTCGGATAATCCTATAATATTCCAGCGTAATTTGTCTATCTCTTCTTCCTTCTCCAGGATCTTCTCGTCAGTCCTCAAGTCCTAAGGCAGCGTTATAAGTTGCCAGGTGGAGTCGTCGTAGGCAACCGAACCTCCACTGGAGATTCTTACCACTTCCTGCCCCGCCGTTACCATGGTCGCCACCGTAGCCAAGAATAGCGGGACCGCCGGGGACTGAGGGCCGTTTATTAATGTCATTGCTCATGGGGTGTATATTGTCATAGTTGTTACGCTTGGCCAGCGGGTTGGCAACCACAGTTTTTTTTATTGCTTTTTGCTGTTATCAGAAAGATGCTGGTGCCCATCTTCTGCCTCAGTTTCCCTCTTTCTCTCTTCGTTTTCCGCTTACGACACCCACGGGAAGAAATGGGGTAGTGGGTATTATTACCCGCCACTACACGGGGCTGTGTGCTCTTTTGTAATTTTACTTGTAATAAAAATTTACTGTGGAAGATATTTTACTTAAAGTGTCTAAGAATGAAAATCATAAAAGATCTAAAAACTTGTTTTTACTAATAAATAATATTTCACTCTTAAAGAGCTCTATGCTCTTTAAAACAATGTTCAGACTTCTATATCTTCTATAATATAAGCTGACCTTTTATTCTGCCGTTCATATTTAAAAGTCTTCTAAGTCATACTCGGTCGCATTTCAGTACATACATGTCGAATATCGTATCACACCGTTACCGTTACAGCCAAATAAATTCCACTGCTGAACATAGCACCCATAGATTGTCTCATAGGAGAAATATTTGCCACATATGCCATGCTTGGAAAGGGTGTGGCAAGCGCAGTTTTTTTTTTATTTTTAGTCGTTATTAGGAAGACGATGCTACCCATGTCCAGATTTGTTTTCCTCTGTCGCCTCTTACGAAACCCACGGGATGATATGGGCTAGTGAATATTCTTAAATTCTAAAAACCACACTTTCGCAGAATACCAATGAAAATAGCAGCTTTCTGCTGCTGCATTTCGTACAGTGAGTGTAGAAAACAAAAGCCTTTTATCACTGGAAATGAGGCATTCCATATTAATCCTCAGGGATGACAACGCATTTGCATTTTGATTCTTAATCGAGGGTAGATGTCTTTGGGCCACAGCAACCATTGGGTGAAATGTATGCTGGTTTTATATATAAATCTTATCCTATAAAAAAAGTTCTAATTGTGTCCTCAGGTCTAGCACCTTCAGAGAACGCCATCGATGATGGGATGCAGACAGACGGTCAAAGCCTAATGGACGTGAAGCTGGAGGCCTGTCGTGAACAGCTTGTTTGTTTAATGTATGCGAGCCCTGCGAAGTACGCGCCGTACAGCAACCTCATATCCATTCAGTTGAGCAGGTATTCAAAAAAAATTGTAAATCTCCAACCACTTACAAACATTTTGAAATTGGCTTTTTAGTCAATTTCAAAAAAGGAGTTTCTCAATTCGATTGTATTATTTTTTGTGTTATGTTACGTGATATCTTTGGCAAATATGAAGCGATTTTAATGCTTTTGGAAGTGACAACTTCTTTAGAATCGTTGTGATATATATTATAGGATTTAGCCTGCGAGAGAATAAGATAAAATATAACGTAGTAAGCGACGGTAGCCTAATAGCCATGTGCTGACCGCGAACTCAACAGGTTGTGAGTTTGAATCCACCATTCGACTACTACCACCACTAACACAAGCATTTTCAGACTACTAATAGTGACTAAAGGGAATATTAGTAATGTTAACAGCGTTACTTGTATTTGAAAAAAGACAGTGTTTCTTATTATTACGGCCTCTCTTTGTGCGGTGCTTTAAAGATAATAAAAATTTTAACGCTTAAAATTAACATTTCAAAAAATTAATACATTTATTAAATAAAGAACATTAACCATATTGAGCAAAATTAGCATATCCAATTCATTCATAACAATCCACGGTTTTATAACTTCATGCCATCTAACGTTTATTTTAAGTGTCCCTTGAGACCCAAAAAATTTTTGTTCGATAAAATTACTTTACCTATAGAATGAAGTAGATGGCGCGATTACAAAGCAATTTTACTCGAAATAGAATATTGTTTTGATTTATTACACTGAAGTTTAGGCTAGAAATAAGGATCGTAACATTTATTTGCTATAAAATTTTACTTTTATCTTGTATTTTATATCGCACTTGAGGTTGAAAATTATCATATTAAATAAAACATTTACCGTAAAACCTTTTGAAGTGTTATTTTTATTTCACCATAACGCTATTAGCTTTAAAATATGCTTGAGCAAGTCTAGTGATTAAGGAGGCATCTTAGGACACACCGTTTAAAGTAACACTTAGACATTATTTATTTATTAAACTTTTATGCACAAAAAGAAAAAACGTACATGTGGTGGACTTAATGCCTTAATGCGTTCTCTCCCAGTCAACCATTAGGCTAAGCAGAGATAAACATATTGGAGGTAGCACTTAAATACATTAAATATATAAATATATACAACCTGGGTTAACACCACACTTAGTTATTATTCTGCGAAATAAACTAAATCTACATCAAACTCAAAGCTTAAAAAAGTTAAACAAAACGAATTCCATTCAATTTGAAAATGATTTGAAACATTCCCGTTTATTAATAACTTATCTTTTCCTTTGCCATATTCTGACTATATGACTGTATTATTACAAAATATGCAGTTTAAAATGTATGATAAATAAAAATAATTTTAATGGGCTAATGATAAAAATATTAAAATTGTCATATTGTATAATCCTACTCCCCGTACCGGTACCGTGCCAAGAACACTGGCTGCGTTTCCCCGCTGAGTGGCTATACTTAGCCTTTGAGCGAGAAAACTAAAATATAATGCGTAATATGGATCACTGCTCCATTTCTTAAATTCTGTCATCTAGTGATAATTACGCTAAGCAATATTACATTAACCGAGGAAGTTATGGTCCACACCATACACTTGATTTCGTTATATATTTCCATGGCCAAGTGCTTTACTATAGAACTGTAGTCCCCGTAAGTTGATGTTAACTTCAATGAACTTTGTTTTTCTTTTAAAAAAATAATTGTACAAACGAGCACACAGTCATTCTGATGGTAAGTAGATGCTATGGCCCATAGACATCTACATTTATCCTTGTTTAAGAATCAAAATGTGAATGTATTTTCACCAATGCCATCCACTAAGATGGAATGCCTCGTTTCCAGTAAAAAGGGTCTCCGGTTCTTTACACTCGCCGTAAGAAACACAGCAGCATTAAGCTGCCATTTTATGCTGGTATTCTGTGAGAACGTGGTCCTTCCCCGGTTGAGTCGACACATTCGTGTTATTACGCTATTGAATGAAAAAATCCTCCTCCTATTGTTCTACATTCGTCTCAGTCTCTCGAAGTTTAGTTTTCTGAAGGTTTGACTTCTACCGCGTGTGAACTGCACACATGTTTTTATTAAATAGGTAGAGAAGTATATTTCCAGGGGTAGTGCTATTTAATTTAGAGGAACATCATCCACCCGCAACGGTGGTAAATAGGGACGGAAGTTTTTGATGTAACTATTTAGACGGCAAGTTAGTTGTTACCGCGTGCCTGTGATATTACTTAGTCCGATCTATAGAGTTTTTTTTTTTAATTTTATTGAAATTTAGAAGCTGATTTCAAAGAATTTAAAAGAATAAGACATCTTTGTACACCGATTTGAAGTTGCAGCCTAAATACGTCACACATCTGGCCACAGGCCTCTCACCTCTGAGGGGGTTTTAGGGCTAAGAAGTGTCCGCCGCGCTGTCCCACGTGTTGGAGAACTTCACATCTTCGACTTTTTATTTCTTAGATCTGCAGATTTCCTCACGATGTTTACATTCACCGGCGAGCACGTGGTAAATCAGCACTTAAAATTGTAATTAACAATAGCATTTTCGCCGGCAATTTTGAAATTTACAACGAGTGCTTAGCCTTAGTTTTAAATTGATTAACAAAATATAATTAATTAATTAGTAAACCCGAAACATTTATATGACTCATCACTTACCATCTCAACAGAGAACTAAACGAGTTACGTCGGCCGGTGTCCGACAACCCGGAGATCCTGCGTTTCTTCCGGTACATGAGAGCTGCGCGTCGAGGTCAAGAAGGCACGGACTGTATGCGCGCTTTTCCATCCTGCGATTCCAACGCTACGCCGTCACACACCATGATAGCAGCCTATCACGACATCAACAAACTTGTCACTGCTAGGAAGTTAGAGTAAACAAATGGTAAATTTATAATGGTAATAATTTATTGAATAAAATTACTATCTATACAAATAATTAAAATATAAATCTCTGTTTGTAATGTCAAAATAACAGCTTTTACTAAATGCATATGAAATTATATACGTTCCTAATAACAAATATACAATTATTAAAATTTTGTCTGTCTGCCTGTTTGTTCCGGCTAATCTATACGACACGGCTGGACTGATTTTGAAGGGACTGCCACTGGCAGATAGCTGATGTTATAACGAGTAAATAATTTTAATTTTAGGTACTTTTAATTTAGAAAAATAATTAGGGTTCCGCGCAAAAAAAAACCCATGAAGTTATCAACATAATCCGATTAAAGCTGGGAAGTATAATAATAAATTAATAAAAGCCTGTGAAAGTTCCGTCAAAATCGGTCCAACCGTTTCGGATGTTAACTGGAACAAACAGTATGTACTTTCATTTGCATATGAAAGTATATACTTTATTTGCAGCATTTAGTTAAAAGCAGTTATTTGGACATTACAAACAGACTCTTTCAATTTTATTTAAATTTAAAAATTACAGCCTATATACGTCCCACTGCTACGCACAGGCATCTCTCACTTCTGAGAGGCAGGACAAGGAAATGTCCGCCGCGCTGCCCCAATGCGCGTTGGCGAACGTCACATGTCTTCATAATATTTTTTTCTTATTTCTCAAACACGCAGGTTTCCTCACGATGTTTTCCTTCACCGTCGAGCAAGTTGTAAATCAGCACTTAAAATTGTAATTAACAATTTCTTTGGTGTTGGCGAGAGTCGAACCCGGGTTGCTCGCGTACTGTGAAATTTACGACATTACATCATAGATATTAATTCACTGTACGTATTAGAGTTCTTGCTTGAAACAATGTTACTTGTATGCAACGTTCTATTGAAGGGAATCCAATATATCAAAGCCAATCCAATATTGATAACTTGCTTTGACTAGTGCCACAAATACCTTGCCAAAGGAAAATGCCTTTGAGTTTTGAGCTCATGCAAGAAATAATCCGAACTCATTCCAGTACAGTCTTTTGTTCGACACATTTATTAATATGTTTAGGAAGAGACTTAGATCGATTATTTTTTTTAAGTACATCATTCTAATGCTTTTCTTTTTTTTTCCCAGATTTCAACGGAGAAAGTATTTTGAAAACTTAATGCATCCTATGTGAAACATTCAAGGATTACCTTTACATTAATTACAAACTGCTACTAAGAAACTAATCCGGGACATGATATCATGGCATGGGCACTGTCTAATTTTTGTCGTTTTCGGTTTGGGTTTTTTAAATGTTTGTTATAATTAATTTAAATAAAATTCCAATGCTAATTCAATTAAATAAAATGAAGAAAAAGAGATTTTTGAAGATAATTTCGGACATTTTTCGAGCATTTCCCAAGTCTATTAAATTAAAAATATATTTTTAATGCCCTAATACACAAACGCTGCTCAATTTTAAGATGTCGTTAAGTCTCGTGCTATCTCTATCACTCTAAGTTAAAGTGAGTGTGACACCACGAGACTTAACGACTTCTTAAAATTGAGTAGCGTTTGAGTATTTGGCCTTAAGTGCCGTAAATTTTAAAAGTTAATTTTTATTTTATGGTATAAGATATAAGAAGTAATTTAGGAAGAATATTCGTTTTATTTATATTGAATGAATGTAATTTATTGTGCGACTGTATTTGTTGTGTGTTTTTATTCGCGTGCTATTTTTTCACTATAATGAAATTTATTTCATCGTTATACATTATTTACTTTTTAATGTATTGCATGTAATTTAAAATAGTTATAGAAACAACACTGTAATATTGTATCTTACCTAAAACTGAGTTTTTCTCTTTAGAAACCATAGAAAGGGTTTTTTCCTACGTCGCTATTTATTTTTAGTAAATATCTACTGTCTTAATGAAAAAGCCTTTTGTATTCCTCATTAGCATCTAGCCATTTGGCGTCTTAAATAAATCTTGTATCGCACCGTAGAAAGTGCTTATTATGTAACAGCTATTAGAAAAATAAAATAAAATAAATTGACGTCTTCTGAGAATTGTGTATATCGTGTTATGTGTAAATGAGTGAAGTGTAAAACTGTTTGTTAAGTTTAACTAATTTATTTATTTATTTAGTCATACGTTTAAAAATTTAATAATATATTACCTGCGTTTCAACTGTGTTTCTTCTTTTTTTATATAATCTATATCATTTCTCCCTGTCATTTTTTTTTAGTATTGTGTACCAAACCTCGCATAAAAGAATATTTATTTAATCAGTGACTGACCTTTTCACTTAGATGATTGAAACGTTAAACGGTAATAAATTTATAATATGCAGTTAAGAGTTAACTAAACGAGAATTTACAATCTCGTGCATCCTGAGAGTCTAAATTCGCATTATCGACTGAACAATTTTGACGGTTCCATGGCGCTGTACCTTAGCACTGGAGCAGAATTGTGCTTGGGGCCGCGGGATCGAATCCCGCATGGAACAAGTATTTGTATAATCCACAATTAATTGTTTTTTTTTTTTACAGAATAGGGGTGACAAGCGAGCACGCAATCCACCATAGTACACAGTACACACACAGTACACAGTATTTACACGTGGTAGAGCCATGCTGCAGCTATATTAGTAGTATAGTTGTAGCACGAATGGGTCGGCTTGACCGGGGAAGGGCCACGCTCTCATAGAAAACCAGCGTAAAATAGCAGCTTAATGCTACTGTGTTTCGTATGGTGAGTGTAGAGAACCGGAGACCCTTTTTACTGGCAAAGAGGCATTCCATCTTAGTCCTCACGGATGACAACGCATCTGCATCTTGAGTCTTTATTGAGGATAGATGTCGATGTCTATGGGTGACAGTAACCACTTAGGATCAGGTTTTTTTTTTTTTTTTTTTTTTTTTTTTTTTTTTATGGAATAGGGGGCAAACGAGCATGCGGCTCACCTGATGTTAAGTGACTACCGCCGCCCATGAACAACCGCAACACCAGGGGAATTGCAGATGCGTTGCCGGCCTTTTAGAAAGGTGTAAGCTCTTTTCTTGAAGGTTCCTAAGTCGTATCGGTTCGGAAAATTCGCTGGTGGTAGTTGATTCCACAAAGAAGTTGTGCGAGGGAGAAAACTTCTTCTAAATCGCACAGTGGTGGACCGCCAATCATCCAGATGGTATGGATGGTAACGCGAGTTTTGTCGCGACGTGCGATGGTGAAATTGAGCGGCTGGAATTAGTCCGAACAATTCCTCAGAGCACTCCCCGTGATAGATGCGATAAAATACGCAAAGAGATGCAACATCTCTACGCAGTGCCAGTGTATCGAGCCGATCGGAAAGAACTCGGTCGTCGACGATTCGAATCGCTCTGCGCTGGATGCGGTCAAGTGGAAGGAGCTGGCACTGGGGTGCCCCGGCCCAGAGATGAGAACAGTATTCCATGTGGGGCCGAACTTGCGCTTTGTAAAGTTGCAAGCGATGTGCCGGCATGAAATACTGTCTCGCTCTGCTGAGCACGCCAAGCTTTTTAGAGGCCAATTTGGCCTTCCCTTCCAAGTGACCACGAAACTGCACGCTATTCGATATGTCGACGCCAAGGATTCCGATACTGGCTGAGGCAGCAAGGGGAGTGCCTTGAAACTGAGGAGATACGACAAAGGGGTTCTTTTTAGCGGTAAACGCGCAAACTTGTGTCTTCTGGGGATTGAACTGGACTAGATTTAGTCGGCCCCAATCCGAGACTTTGTTAAGCAAAGACTCGACTTCAGACACAAGTTTGTCCCGGTACTCGGCGACGTTTTCCCGAGAAATATTGGCACGGCCGGTATATAAGGCATCCCCAGTGCTGTCGTCTGCATAGCAATGAATGCTACCAGTTAGCAACATATCATTGATATGCAGGAGAAACAGCGTTGGTGATAGCACGCAGCCTTGTGGAACACCAGCGTTGATAGGCTTGTAATCAGAGCATGCACCGTCTACTACGACCTTGATGCTCCGATCAGCAAGGAAACTGGTGATCCATTTGCACAATTTCTCGGGAAGCCCATAGGAAGGAAGCTTCGAAAGAAGCGCCTTGTGCCAGACCCGATCGAAGGCCTTCGCTATGTCCAAACTAACGGCCAATGCCTCCCCCTTGGACTCTACTGCCTCCGCCCATCTATGAGTTAAGTAAACTAAAAGATCACCTGCTGATCGACCCCGACGAAAACCGTACTGACGGTCACTGATCAGCTGGTGATCCTCAAGGTACCTCATGAGCTGGCAGTTTATAATGGATTCCATTATTTTGGAGAACAAGGAGGTGATGGCGATAGGCCTGTAGTTGGACGGGTCTGAGCGGTCGCCTTTTTTAGGGATCGGGTGGACCAAAGCTGTCTTCCATGAATTCGGGACTACGCCTTGGGAGTAGGAGTACCGGAAAAGACGCGTTAAAACCGGTGCCAACTCCGGAGCACACGTCTTCAGCACAATGGGATGGACTCCATCGGGCCCACTCGACTTGCTGACGTCCAGGGAGAAGAGTGCTTTGCGAACCGAGCGCTGTGTAAATCGCACATCCGGCATGGAGCACTCACATCGCGGGATGGTCGGCGGTGTGTTCCCCCCGTCATCTAGAGTCGAGTTGGACGCAAAAAGAGAGCACAACAGATCGGCTTTCTCTTTTGCGGCATGGGCCAGTGAGTCGTCCTCTCTGTGCAGAGATGGGAGGGATGGCTGACAGAAGTTCCCTTGGACAGCCTTGGCGAGAGACCAGAATGCACGGGTTCCCGAAGGAAGGCGAACTAGCTTCTCGCCAATTCTGCCGATGTGCTCAGACCTTGCCTTGGCAATGACGCTTTTGAAGGACCTGGAGGCGGAATTATACTTCTTTTTAAGTGCGCTGGTGTTTAAATCCCGAGACGTTGATGCGTCAGCCCAGGCCCGGTAGCACTCCTGCTTATAGCGTGATGCTATTTTACAGGAGCGACCAAACCATGGCTGGGAT